TCTGGAGGCAGGTTGTTCCACTGGTTAATTGTTCTAACTGTCAGGAAGTTTCTCCTTAGTTCTAAGTTGCTTCTCTCCTTGATCAGTTTCCATCCGTTGCTTCTCGTCCTGCCTTCAGGCGCCTTGGAGAATAGCTTGACTCCCTCTTCTTTGTGGCAGCCCCTGAGATATTGGAACACTGCTATCATGTCCCCCCTCGCCTAGTTGGGTTATAGATTTTATTTTTAATTTAGTTCACGGGAAAGGGAGTAACTGGCTACAGTCATCCATTTCTGTGCCTCTGGATGGACTAGGACAGGGGTAGACAACCTTGGCTCTTTTATGACTCATGGACTTCAACTCCCAGAATTCCTGAGCCAGCCATGCTGAGGGGAAAGGGAGAGGTTTCCAAGCTGAGCCATGCTAGCTCAGGAATTCTGGGAGTTGAAGTCCACGAGTCATAAAAGAGCCAATGTTGCCTACCCCTGGACTAGGAGCTTCTAAATTACCACCTCAAATATTACCTCAGTGGCATTCTTATTTACAGGTAGTCCTCAATTTACCACCACAATTGAGCCCAAAATGTCTGTTGCTAAAAGAGACTTTTGTTGTTGAATTTTGCCCCATTTTACATACTTTCTTGCCACAGTTGTTAAGTGAATCACTACAGTTGTTAAATTAGTAACACAAGTGCTAAGTGAATCTGATTTTCCCATTGACCTTGCTTGTTAGAAAGTTGCAAAAAGTGATCACCTGAGCCCGGACACTGCAACCATCATAAATATGAGTCAATTGCCAAGCCTCTGAATTTGGGTGACGTGACCTTGGGGATGCTGTAACGGTCACAAGTGTGAAAAATGGTCATAAGTCACTTTTTTCAGTGCCATTGTAACTTTGAGCAGTCATTAAATGGTTGTAAGTGGAGAACTACCTGTATATTTTTGTTCTACTAAACTAGCATCCTTTATGTCTTCCGTAGTGGTTAACACGCCAGACTAGGAGACTAGGAGAGTTCCAGTTCTATTTTAGGCACAAAGCTAGCTGAGTGATCTTGGGCCAGGCCTTCTCTCTCAGCCCTAGGAAGGAGGTAATTGAAAACCCCTTCCAAAATCTTGCCAAGAAAACTGCAGATGCTTGTCCACACAGTCACCAGGAATCAACACTGATTTGAAAACACCCACACATATCAAAGGATAGGCAATTACTTCTTTGGCATCAAATCATTTTGGATAGCGCTGCTTTGTTGAAATATGGGTAAAGAATATTCTTTTGTTCATTGGAAGATGATGGCTTAAGAAAGTCTGACATTATATCACACTCACAATCATTCCAAGAATTACAACATTTATTTTCTAGCCATCCCAAAGGTGCTTTTTCATGAGGCAACAGTTGCCTCATGAAAAAACACCTCTGGGATAATTACGACCTGGATGACTGAGAATATCCATAGACCTTCATTTTCTAGGTCACCTTAGCCACAGTTTGTTAGCCAAAGTGAATAGATCCATTGCAATGGATACACCGTAGGTAGTGCTCAGCTGATGACGGTCGCTTAGCAACCATTCAAAATGACTGTTCAGACCTACATTGGGGGGCTGGTATGTCCAACCCTGATTTGAAGCTGCAATGGCCATCCCCACCCTTACGGTCATGATCACACTGGTGCTCAGCAACCGGGCCTCATTTACGGCTGTTCGCAGCATCTCACAGTGATGGCTGTGTTTATTATGGTTTTGCAGAAAAACCAGCATTTACGTCTAGTTTTCAACAAAACCAGCCCTGTCACCTACCAGTGGTTCTCTTAACGACTGGGGCAATTGCTTTATCACTGTCTCATTCACTGAAAGAGCATTGCAAATAAACTGATGAAATAAACCAGTGGAACAACCTGCCTCCAGAAGCGGTGAATGCTCCAACACTGGAAGTTTTTAAGAAGAGACTGGACAGCCATTTGTCTGAAATGGTATAGGGTTTCCTGTCTGAGCAGGGGGTTGGAATAGATGACCTCCAAGGTCCCTTCCAACTTTATTATAATTATGTGGGTGACCCAATTTACGTCTGTCATGACTTACCACTGTGATAGGCAGGCTTCATAATGGTTTTAAGCCAAGAACTCTCTGAACAGGTAATCTTCAGCTTATGGCCCTACTGGAGCCCAAATTTTTCCATGGCTAAGGAGGACAGTTGTTAAGGGCATCGCTCCCCATTTTATAACCTTTTTGGCCACAGTTGTTAAGCAAATCACTGCAGTCGTTAAGTGAAACAGGCAATTATTAAGTGAATCTGGCTTCTCCCCCCCTTGACTTTGCTTGTCAAAAGCCGGCTAAGAAGCTAACAAATGGTAATCACATGACCCCGGTATGATGAGTCAGTTGCCAAGCACCCGAATTTTGATCACATGACCCTGGGGATGCTGCAACAGTCGTAAGTGTGAAAAACGGTCATAAGTTACTTTTTCAGTGCCGTAACTTTGAATGGTCATTAAAGGAATGGTTGCATGTCAAGGACTACTTGTGTTGTTAAAAAGGTCAGAATTCCATCTATCCATCCATCCCAGACATGGAGGATAAGTTATGCCAATCTCATTGAAGTCACCTGGGGAATGCTTTTATTTTATTTCATTTTATTTTTTCTGATGTAAACAAATAATTTCCAAATGAAGGCAAGTATACGTGTCCTGGGATAATGTTGCAGGATCCAATCTGGGTCAGTCATCAGGACCAAAGGCTTAGTTTTCCGAGCTTTCGGACTCGTGCTGAAGCCCATCCTCAGAGAACTTCTCTCTAGCACAGGGGTAGGCAACCTTGGCTCTTTTATGACTCGTGGACTTCAACTCCCAGAATTCCTGAGCCAGCCATGCTGGCTTAGGGATTCTGGGAGTTGAAGTCCACGAGTCATAAAAGAGCCAAGGTTGCCTACCCCTGCAAATGTGTGTTTTGGGGATGTTCCCTGAGGATGGGCTCCAGCATGAATCAGAAAGCTCAGAAGACTAAGCTTCTAGTCCCCGTGACTGACCCAGATTGGATCCTGCAACAAATAACTCCACGGACTGTCTATGGAGATTTTCAGTCAACTAGGTCACAGTTGTCCAAAAATGCTTTTTTTAAAAAAGGCAACTGGACTTTGTTTTTCCTTGAAGACGTTTCACTTCTCATCCAGGACGTTTCTTCTGTTCTTCTTCCGTTCAGCTTCTTCTTCGGAACGGAAGAAGCTTCTTGGATGAGAAGTGAAACGTCTTCAAGCAAAAGCCAAGAAAGTCCATTTGCCTTTTGAAAAAAAAAAACACCTTTGAAACAATTCCATTGACAGCTAAAGAAAAGGAAGTGTGGCTCTTAAGGATGACATCAAAATGGCAAATTGGCCAATTACTACCATGCATTGTTTGGGTTTATGCGTAAGCCATGTGTGCACACACTCTTAGTCTGTTTGATTAACTCAGCTGTGATTTATGGAACTAACACATTTTTCCTTGCTCTCCATGATCACCACCACAGCTGGAGCTTAACGTGCTAGGCTAAAATGCTGAAATCTGATCCTTTAGTTTGTTATTCGGTGTGTCTTGTGAATGTAGCCATTTATTAAGATAGGATAATGGCCTTGAAATTGATAAGAATCCTGGTTGCTTTCTAAAGCAGTTTTCTCCCTACGTTTTATTCATATTTATCCCTCTTACAATTTATGGGTGTGTTTTTTATATATATTTTGCTTTGAGAATGGATTCACACATGACGTTGAACCTTAGCTCGTTTTAGCACGATTGACACAATAGTCTGATTTCCTGTAATATATCCATCCCAAATCAAAGAATATTAAGGTCATCAGTGAATCTAGTGGCTGGTTTTGACTCTGGTTTAATCCAATGTGTGAACTCATCCATTGTGAATTGCGAACTATTGTGAATTGTGATGCAGTGCATAAATCACATCATGCAATGTGAGAGGTCACCATTTTTCTATCCATATTTTCATAAATAAGTTAGAGGTAGTCCTTGACTTATAGACTGGTCACTTAGCAACCATTCAGATTTACAACAGATGTATCTGGGGGTACTTAGAACCTAGAGATGAACTTCCAATGGCTAGAGCCGCCGCCCCCCTGCAGCCATGTGACCACATTTCATGTGCTTGGCAACCAAACCACATTTGCAGATGTTGGCAGAGTCTCCTGGTAATATGACCGTGTTTTATGACCGTTTTGCCAAAAATTGGCATTTACTTCCAGGTTTTAGAATAACCGTAGCCACAGCAAACAGAATAACAGAGTTGGAAGGGAACATGGATGTTTTCTAGTAGTCCAACCCCCAGCCTCTTCTTAAAGCAGGGGTGTCAAACACAATTTCACTGAGGGCCGCATCAGCATTGCATTGCCCTGGGGGGGGGCGGGTGTGTGTGGCCAGAGTGGGTGCAGCCTACTGGGTGGGCATGGAGTAGGTGTGGCCTACTGGGTGGGCGTGGCCAGTTCTACATCATTCGCGTCAAGGGTGCCTATGGGGGCCTGGGCAGGAGTGGGACAGATCTGAGGGTCTCTGGCAGAAGGGGGTGGGACCGGGGCAAGTGCAAGGCATGGTCCACCGGGGCAAGTGCCAAGATGGCCACCACAAAATTGTACATTGGCTCCCAGCCGGCCTGGGCCAGGGCCAAGGCGGCACGGGCCGTTCCCTCACTGTTTCCAGGATGGCTTCACGGGCCACATGAAACCACTTTGCAGGCCGCATCCGGCACCCGGGCCTTGTGTTTGACATGTCTGTCTTAAAGCAAGGGTCTTCAAACTTGATAACTTTAAGATTCCCAGAATTCTGGGACTTGAAGTCCACAAATGTTAAAGTTGCCAAGTTTGAAGACTCCAGTCTTAAAGTCTTCCAGTGATGGAGCATCCACAATTTCTGGAGGCAAGCCGTTCTGCTGATTAATTGTCTTCACTGTCAGGAAATTTTTCCTTAGTTTTAGGTTTCAGTTTCAGTTTCAGTTTATTGTATTTATATCCCGCCCTTCTCCTGGTGGACTCAGGGCGGCTTACAGCCAGTTAAAAAACAGAGCAATTGATACAAATATACAAAATTTAAAAAAAATTAAAAGATATATTTAAATAGGCCTTTTCTTAATTTAAAAGTTGATTAAAATCCAATTTAAAATATCCCTAGGCCAGTCCTGCCAGCTGAAATAGCCATGTCTTGAGGGCGCGGCGGAAGGAGGGGAGATCCGGAATCACCCGGATCTCTGGGGGCAGCTCGTTCCAGAGGGTGGGGGCTCCAACAGAGAAGGCTCTCCCCTTGGGGGTCGCCAACTGGCACTGTCTGGTTGACGGCACCCTGAGGAGACCCTCTCTGTGGGAACGTATCGGCCGGTGAGAGGTGATCTGTGGCAGAAGGCGGTCTCGGAGGTAGCCAGGTCCGATGCCATGGTGCGCTTTAAAGATGATAATCAACACCTTGAAGCGCACCCGGAAGGCCACCGGCAGCCAGTGCAGCTCGCGCAGCAGCGGCGTTACATGGGAGCGACGAGTCACTCCCATCACCGCCTGCGCGGCTGCATTCTGGACTAACTGGAGCCTCCGAGTGCTCCTCAAGGGGAGCCCCATGTAGAGAGCGTTACAGTAGTTCCTTCTCTCCTTGACTAGTTTTTGGTTTGTCTAACAACCACCGATTTGCTTAACAACCAAAGAAGTCATGAAATTGGGTCATTAATGCTGGTGGCCTGATTTACAACTGTCATGATTTACAACTGTGATGGGCAGACTCCATTATGACCGTAACTCAAAAACTACCTGTACAAGTGCATCAAACGGTAAACTAGAGGACAATCTACAATGGCTGTGTTCAAGCAAAAGCAGCACACCATCACCCAGCTACTTTCATGGGTGAAGCCATTCAATACCATCAGCCGTAACCAAACCAAGGGGATGAAAAAAAAATATCAATATGGCAGCCACGATCATGCAGCTGAAGCTCTACCTCTTTTTTACCTACATCATGATGCAAATAAAAAGAAGTGGGATTTTGATCACATGATCTCTTTTGACACCTACCCAGCGGACACCTCTGAACCAGCTTTGCATTTTGCAAACAAATTACAGGAGGTTGAAAAGACACATAAATACGATTTGCCTCTAAATTTGGAGCACGCATTTTAAAATGAAGAACGCCTAGGTTTAATATCAGTAGCTTCTGCTGAAAAAAACTGGACCTGGAGAAGATTCTCACCTTACAAGACCTTATTGACCAATATCAATGAGAATGCATAAAGTCAGCTGGTGACTTTGGCCCAGTTCCTCTTTCTATAGCATAACCAGTTCAAATAGGTGAACAACCGGTTCTCTGTGTGGATGCCGCTTCCAGAAGTCCGTTCTGGGCCTAGGCAACAAAAAATTAGCTACCAATTTTGCCGAAGTGGTGCGAACCGGCTGAATCCCACCACTGAGCTCAACCCATCTCACTGTTATCCCAAAGGTGCCTTTTCACGAGGCAACTGGACTTTCTTGTTTGTTTTTTTCTCACAGGGTTGGTTTTTTTCTCACAGGGTTGTTGTGCTGGTGAAAACAGGTGGGAACATTTGCTACATGTGCTGCCTTGAGCGGACAAAAAATAAAGGCAGGATAAATCAAATTTAAAAATTAAAAATAATGTAGATGATGGTGAAACATCTCATTTCCATTAATACGAATGCTGTTCCACTATTTTTGCTAATTGCTTGTTTAGATTTCATAGTACTTAAGGCATAAAGACTGTGCAAGGAGTATCTTTAAGTTTAGCAGGATCAAATGGAATTTCTCAGCTACGTTTCAATCGGTAATGGCTTGATCTTTTTTGTTGCTTTTAAATCCAGATGTTGGATGAAAATCACCATCTGATACAGTGCATTATGGACTATCAGAGCAAGGGCAAAACAGCAGAATGTACTCAGTGAGTATGAATTTATAGGTTGGTGCGAAAATATGATGAGATTGTCATTTCCTGGCCAACTTTCAGCAGATGAAGAATTTCATTATGGCTAATGTAGCCATCCACAAGTGCTTTGTCTTAAGCCAGGATCTTTACATTGTTCTTTTTAGAGGGAGGCAAGGGGTCAGAAAAGTCAAGATGGTGGCTAAAACCACATCTTCCAAGCCCCGTTTCTTCTATATACTACAGCAGCTATCTTGATTTCTTTTACTCTCCTCCATAGACTTGCTTGGCCTTTAACACAGGGATCTCCAATCTTGGCCACTTTAAGACTCGTGGACTTCAACTCCCAGAATTCCTCAGCCAGCCATGCTGGTTGGGGAATTCTAGGAGTTGAAGACCACAAGTCTTAAAGTGGCCAAGGTTGGATACCCTTGCTCTAAAGCATTTGTCTCTAAAGGTGACTGTTTTGAACCATGTTTTATTTGGTCTGACATCTGTTTTACCTTTGTGCTACACCTATGAATGAAATTCTAGCTTTAACATGAGAGTTTGGGTCACCCAATAGGTTAAAGCAACGTCTGGTCTCTCAACCAAAGCTGACCCCCAAATTACCAAATCCAGTTTAGCTTAGTCTAAGACAGGGGTGTCAAACTCGCAATGTCACGTGACGTGTTGCGACATATCATGACTTTTTTTCCATTGCCAGCAATGGAGTGGGTGCGGTTTTGGCCTGACACATCCGGCCTGTGGGCTGGCAGTTTGACATCCCTGGTCTAAGAGGTTGTGTAACTTCCACTTGGGTTCAGCAGACAACAAAGCATAATGTAATGAAATGCACACTCAAATTAGTTCATCCCATTCTGACAGGCTGCATCAGCATGCCTGCATCTCTAAAACTGCAGAAATTTCCGGTGCTTTTCTCTTCCTTCTTGCACCCTTTCCCATTTCAAGCCATTTCATTCCAGTGATTAGAATCATCCAGGAATATTTAGCATCCATTTTAAGCCCCCAACCACTCTTGAAATCCAGTGTGTTTTGTGAGTTCCTTGGCACTGGATGTATTAATGCTGTGTCTGATTCTGTCTCTGCAAAGCAGACTCTGTCTTTCTTAACTTACAGAGGAGAATATTAGTAGCTCAGGGTTGAAATGAGGGGTCCTTGATGCTCTCTGAGCCTGCTTGTTTTCTTGCAGACGTTTCATTACCCAAACTAGGTAACATTATCAGTGTACCAGTGATACACTGATGATGTTACCTAGTTGGGTAATGAAATGTCTACAAGAAAACAACCAGGTCACAGAGTAAGGAACCCTTTAGTAACTCCTCCAGGAAGACCTGGAGGAACGTTGTCCATAGGGTCATGATGGGTCGGACACAACTTCACAACTAACAACAACAAGTAACTCTTTAGCTTTCATGTCATGTAATGCAGAACAAAGATGAATGTGTCAGGCACCAGTTCTGGTGCAAAGATAATGGAGATAGTTACAAGAATCAAAAATGCACCCAACATTTTTTATTCTTGGACTGACATTTTAGCAGTTTTAGAATAAATGCTACTTTATTGCTGCTTATTAGAGTTAAGCAGGTGAGGGGTGATTTGAAGGCTGCCAAAAAGTTTGGGATTTTAAAGAAGAAAGTACCGAGTTCAGATGCAGGTTTAAAAGGAGAAATATTTCTAATACAGTTTCTTTTTCTCAGATATGTGCTGTTTTATTTTGTCTATAGATACCAACAAATCTTACACAGAAATCTGGTTTACTTGGCCACCATAGCAGACTCTAATCAGAATATGCAGTCCTTGCTGCCTGCTGTAAGTATCTGCATGTAAATCAACCCAAGTTTATTACTGAATGAGCCAATTAAGAAAACTCTTGTTAGTTTGAGCAGAATCCTTTGGTTGTGCTTTATGAGAGTTGGGGGGAGCAACCAGAAATGCACCTGATATGGGTTGGAGTGGAATTAATCTCTTGTGTTGTGGACCAAGTGATGTGGGGTGTGGTTTATACCTATACATTGGAGCAGAGGTCTTCAAACTTGGCCCTTTTGTGACTTGTGGACTTCAACTCCCAGAATTCCTCAGCCAGCATGCCTGGCTGAGGAATTCTGGGAGTTGAAGTCCACAAGTGATAAAAGGACCAAGTTTGAAGACCCCTGCATTGGAGCAACTGAAAACACACAATTGATCTGATAAAGGAGAATATCTATAGCTCTGGGTTGAAATGAGGGGGTCCTTGGTGCTCTCTGAGCTTTGTTGTTTTCTTGGAAATATTTCATTACCTAACAAGGTAACATCATCCGTGTGTCATTGGTGCACTGATGATGTTATCTTGTTAGGTAATGAAACATTTGCAAGAAAACAACAAAGCTCAGAGAGCACCAAGGACCCACACTTCACAATATGACCATGTAACACCTCTGTGAGCCTCCCAGGAGACTTCCAGTGCAACTCAAGGTGTTGGTGATCCCCTGCAAAGCTCTGCATGGCCCAGAACCAGGTAATTTACAGCAGAGGTCCCCAAACCTTTTGGGTACCAGGGACCGGTTCTGTGGAGAAAGGTTTTTCCACGGACCAGAGAATGCGTCGTTTTGTGTGCTGCCTGCATCCCACGGATGGGACTTTGCTTGTTTGTGCGGACCAGTTGCTGACATGCCGTGGCCCAGTACCGGTCCAGGGACCGGGGATTGGGGGACCCCTGATTTACAGGACCATCTGTCTCCCTCTCTACTTGCTATAGTACAGTGATGGCGAACCTTTTAGAGACCGAGTGCCCAAACTGCAACCCAAAACCCACTTATGTATCGTCAGGTGCCGGGTGGGCATGGCCAATTGGGTGGGCGTGGCCTGTTGGATAGGCGTGGCCTGTTGGGTGGGCATGGCTGCGGTGGTAACGGCAGACTGGGTGGGACTAAAAAGTTCAATCAATCAATTCCAACTTTGCGAGATCTTTTTTTTTCCCACGAGAAGTTGAAACTGATTGATTGATTGAATTTTTTTTTTTTTGCACACGGCGGCGGAGGCCTAAAGCGAAAAGGTTTTATAAAACCCAGCTGAAGGCCTAGGACTGGGGCGACGGCGCGCGTGCCCACAGAGAGGGCTGCCATAGGTTCACCACCATGGTGGTATACCATACCAGAACTGTCAAAGTTGATGTCTTCTGGGTCCTATCTATTACACAGTGCCATCTAGTGGCACCTAGGAGTTGTGTCTCTTCTGTTGTACCTAAAACAGCATCCCTGACCCTGTTGGCTTCCTGGGTAAGGCATTAAAGACTTAGATGTGCCCACACTTTTTTTTCTTCCGACCAAACCTAAAACATAGATGATGATGATGATGATGATGATGATGATGATGATGATGATGATGATGATGATTTGTCTATTGGTTACATTAAGTTTTGCTCTTTTGTTTTTAATTCTGGGTGAGCAACTGTATCTAGAATCACCATAGTGAGATGGGCAATTAGAGGTAGTCCTCGACGTATGACCACAATCGAGCCCAAAATTTATCTTGCTAAGTGAGAAATTTGTTAAGCGAGTTTTGCCTCATTTTACGACTTTTCTTGCCACATTTGTTAAGTGAATCGCTGCAGTTGTTAAATTAGTAACAGTGTTGTTAAGTGAATCCGGCTTCCCCATTGACTTTGCTTGTCAGAAGGTCGCAAAAGGGGATCACATGACCCCGGGACACTGCAACCGTCATAACTATGAATCAATTGTCAAGTGTCTGAGTGTAAATTATATGACCATGGGAAATGCTGCAATGGTCACAAGGGTGAAAAACGGTCATAAGTCACATTTTTCAGTGCCGCTGTAACTTCGAGCAGTCTCTAAACAAACTGTTGTAAGTCGAGGATTACCTGTATATAAGTTGTATCAGTCCATCCTTTTAGATCCCCCCAAAAAACCTCTGGATCCTTTTAAGACAGTCCCCCAACTTTTCGGGGTTGGCAGCCTGGAGTGAAGGGAGGGGGCAAAGAAGCAATGGTTTTGTGGGGGGGTGAACACATGCCGACGCGTTTGTGTGCACGCGCACGAACACCCGTTGCTCACATGAGTGGGGCCGTGAGCATTCATACAAGTGGGGTCATGAGCACTCGCGGCAACACTCACTCGAGTGGGGCTGTGCGCACAAGTGCACACATGCACTGGCCAGCCACTCACGCGACCTGGTGGCCAATAGGCTGCATCAAGTAGTGGGCCACGGCCCACAGGTTGAGGACCCTTCTTTAAGAAACACCTTGTCTTCTTGTTCCTATCTTACAGCCACCAACACAAAACATGAACCTCGGCCCAGCTGGAATGAGTCAGAGTGCCTCCAGTCAGTCTCTCCATTCACAAAGCAACCTCAGCGATGCCATCAGCACGGGGCTTCCAGCATCCTCTCTCATGCAGAGCCAGATTACCAATGGTAAGAGTTCCACGGTTGCCTGGCAACTGCATCACGAAAGCTTGTTGGAGTGGGCTTTGCAACCAATCAGGGTGGAGTGCTTAGAGCCTAATGCAGTGTTTGTCAGCCTTGGCCACTTGAAGAGGCGTGGAGTTCCAACTCCCAGAGTTCCCCAGTCAACCAATGCTGGCTGGGGAATTCTGGGAAGGCGAAGTCCACGCCTCTTCAAGTGGCCGAGGTTGAGCAACATTGGCCCAACGCATTTCAAAAACCATGGAAGAAGTTTGCATGTTTGCCGTTTATATAGCAGCAGCTGGGATTCCGCCACCGCGACTTTTCCCCACAGGATACCGAGAATGTGGGAAGCTAAGCGTGAAAATGTTGATCCAGTCTCAAATCAGCGCAAAACCATTTCTCCTTACGTTGCATTATAAGAACATTCCAGAAAATGTTTGTGTAGTATGGAAGAAAAAAGATGACAAACCTCTGCCTGTCTCTCTGTCTGTCTGTCTGTCTGCCTGCCTGCCTGCCTGTCTGTCTGTCTGTCTGTCTATATCTATCTATCTATCTATCTATCTATCTATCTATCTATCTATCTATCTATCTATCTATCATCTATCCATCCATCCATCCATCCATCCATCCATCCATCCATCCATCCATCCATCCATCCATCCATCCATCCATCCGATTTAGAGGCCTCTTGAATTCCCAGACAATTCTGGCCAACTAACATGCCAAAGCAAGAAACAATAAAACGAAGGAAGGAAGCACATGTCTCTTGGGTACATGTCTACCCTACTTACTTGCCATTTACCATAAAAAGATAAAAATCATACAACTAAGAACAAAATTAGATTATGAGGAATTAAAAATCTGTCTGAGAGAAGTGCATTTTAGGACTTTTTAAAAATGAGCTGAGAGCTTAGTTCCCTCAACTCAACAAGGATTATGTTACAGGGAATTGGGCTAGATCCAGAGAAAGTGACACAAATATGTGTGTGTGGGGGTGTTTGTGTGTGTATATCTATCTATCTGTCTGTCTGTCTGTCTGTCTGTCTGTCTGTCTGTCTGTCTGTCTGTCTGTCTGTCTGTCTCTCTCTCTCTCTCTCTCTCTCT